CGAAAAACAAGCTGTAAACTGTTCCAATAAAGAGAAAAGAAAGAAAAATTAAAAAAACAAACAATATACAAATCCTGTCATGTTCTCTCTCTCTCTCACCCATTGTCCTACGTTATAAACGATGTTATTTTGTCTTTGAAATCTTCTTTGCCTCATTGGCATTCACCGGCTAAATCTTATTAAAACTTTCTATGCCTCTCTTTTCTCCAAAATTTATCTTTTTCCTGTGTGAGCCACTGACCATACAGAAGACCCCATTAAAAATCTCCAAAACATGTGGCTTTGTTCCTTTTGTTATTATCTGCACACAACTTTAATTTGCAGCTGACATCTTTTTCCTCCTCGTTTCCTGTTCTTGAGCTTTTTCTCTTTCTCTAGTAGTACCAATTAATTTCTTGAAACTGCTAAATTCTAGATCCCAATATTCATACGTATCTTTTTGTGCATGATCATTATTCACTTAGCTTTTTTATTTTGTTTGTCACAATTTATACAATTTTCTTGGAAAAGGTAAATTGGTCTTTTTAGTGATTTTCTTGGATTTCCCAGAAAGCCTGAAAATGGGTTATGCTTAATTGTCTCAAAGACTGGGTTTTTTTTTTCGCTGAGAGTTGAAAGTTGAGTTTGTTGTTGGTTGTGAGAATGCCTCCAAATAATTTTCCTTTGAGATGGGAAAGTACAGGGGATCAATGGTGGTTTGCTTCACCTATTGATTGGGCAGCAGCAAATGGTCATTATGATATAGTGAGGGAGTTGCTTCACTTAGACACCAATTTACTCATAAAGCTCACTTCTTTACGTAGAATAAGAAGGCTTGAGTGTGTTTGGGATGATGAAGAACAGTTTGATGATGTTGCAAAATGTAGGTCTGAGGTTGCTAAAAAGCTTCTCCTTCAAGCTGAAACAAACAAAGGGCATAACTCTTTGATTAGAGCTGGCTATGGTGGTTGGCTTCTTTATACTGCTGCCTCAGCTGGGGATGTTGAATTTGTCAAACAATTATTGGAAAGGGACCCACTTTTGGTGTTTGGAGAAGGAGAGTATGGTGTTACTGATATACTTTATGCAGCTGCTAGGAGTAAAAACTCTCAAGTATTTAGGCTGCTCTTTGATTCTTCAATCTCACTTGAAAATGAGGTTTCTTCCACTTTCAGGTTGGAAATGATGAATAGGGCTGTTCATGCTGCAGCTAGAGGGGGAAATCTTGACATGTTGAGACAGATTCTTGGAACTTGCTCTGATGTTTTGGTTTATAGAGATGCTCAAGGATCTACTCTCTTGCATTCTGCTTCTGCTAGAGGCCAGGTTCAGGTTTGTTCTATTCTTTTATCTTGTTGATAGAGCGGACCCCAACTTTCTTGTAATTGAGACGTAGTTGTTGCTGTTCAAATTGAGCTGAATGGATATAGGGGATTCATATAATTGTGTTTGGTATATAGCTGAATGTAGCTTTTAAGTCTTGCTTACTTATTAATGTCTATATCTTGCTTCCATTACCTTAGTTTTGTTATTTCTTGTTTACCCTCCATAGTTATGTCTTTGCAATGAAGAATCCATTAACTCCATAGTAGTCTAGAAGGTGGCATTATAAAATGGATAGCTTTCAAATCAACCTTTTAAAGCTAAAACTTGGTTAACCTCTTTGTGTAATATAACGTGCTTTATCAGTTTGATGCGTAGTAGATTATACTCGCAGAGGTTCTAGATGTAAATCATTGGTATCCCATTTTTGCTAAGTAGTAGATTAAATTGGGTAACTTTTTTCGAAAACCTTTTCTGTTGTATCCGAAGTGCTGAAGAAATTAAAAGAAAGAATGTCTCAGATCTAAAGTGTGAAATGTGCCTTTCAAAAGAAGCTGGTTTAATGTAGCCCCTGTTTCTGACCATCTTTCTAAAATAAAGACTGCGTCTATAGTTGTTGTTTTCTTTGTTCAATGCATACTGTTTTAAGAAAGCAAAAAATTTTAAGGAGTGAAGAAATCCAATTTAAAATTACTGCTTTGGCTAAGATCAGCCTACTTAAGGTTATATTGAAGGATATTAAGTGTGAAAACATGAGACCAAAGGAATCGTGTACAATTCTCACATAAACGATACCAAGCCAAGCTCTTTGTCCTCATACGATGGTTGTCCGGCAACTGTGTATTGTCAGCAATGTCCTAAGAACTCAAACTGATTGTTATCAGGTTCAACTACCTGGTGCTCCTTTTCAGTTGGTCTGGAAAGCTGGAACATTTTTCAGAATTTAGCCATGTTTGTGTCTTTATCTGCTGCCATGGGCGAAGCCACCTTTAGCAAAGGGTGGTCAACTGACCACCCTACGCCGAAATATTACGAAAAATTGCACTGTGTATATAAGTAAAATATTGATTTTAGATGTATAAAACCTATATTGAACACCCTTTGTCGGAAATTTTTTTCTACTTCTTTCAAGTTTGAACACCCTTAAAAACATTTCTGGCTTCGCCACTGTCTGCTGCTGCTGTGATATGGACTGCCCTGTGACTGAAACAGGGTCATCTATGTCCCAATTCTGCACTTTCTTCTAGATAAGCAGCCGAAAAAGTGTGCAAGACTTCTTGAGTTAACATAACTTTTCGGTTAACATACAACACCAGTTTTGGTACGTAAGAGCACTTGTTGGATTTGCTTCGTTTAGTTATTTTTTGAGAGAGTAGTTGAATTTGACTGAATTGAACTGTTCTGGACTATTATCTGTCTAGTTTGAGCATTGCCTCCTCGTTATCGTTAGCTTTAACTTGATGTTTTCTTGAACTGTCAGATATTTGTTACTTTTGACGGTTGAATTAAATCTTAGTTACTTCTTTGCAGGTTGTTAGGAGTTTACTGGAAACATATGACCTTATTAACTCCAGAGACAACCAGGGAAACACTGCACTTCATGTGGCTGCTTATAGGGGTTACTTATCTGTGGTGGAAGTTCTTGTATCTGTTTCTCCTTCATCTATCTCATTGAGAAACAACTACGGAGACACGTTTCTTCACATGGCTGTAGCCGGATTTCGCACCCCAAGTTTCCGCAGACTGGATCGGCAAATGGAGTTAATGAAGCAGTTGGTATGTGGAAAGGTTATCGAGATCGAAGACATTATTAACATTAGGAACAATGATGGTCGGACTGCTCTTCACATGGCTGTAATTGAAAACATTCAGACTGATGTTGTGGAACTCCTCATGACTGCATTTTCAATAAATTTAAATATCCGTGATGCTGATGGAAATACCCCACTGGATCTCCTAAAGCAATGTCCAAGATCTCCATCGTCTGAGATACTGATTAAGCGCCTCATTTCAGCTGGAGGAATTTCCAATTGCCAAGACCATATGACAAGAACTGCCCTAGCTTCCCACTTGAAGATGCAGGGTATTGGGGGCAGTCCTGGTGCCTCTTTTAGGATCCCTGACGCTGAAATATTTCTGTATGCTGGCATTGATAATGCATCTGATGCCAATAGTGAGTGTGCAAGCACAGAAATCGATTCTTGCTGGGGTGAACCGAGCCCTTGCCGTTCTGCTGCAGGGTCTAATTCATCACACAAGCTAGGCTCAGTTAACAGTGCTGCTAGACGGTTGAAGTTTCTTCTACGGTGGACAAGGAAGAAAGAAAGAAAAGAAGATACCACCGGCTTAGAAGATAATATGTCTGTGGAATCACAAAGATTGTATTCTGGCTTGGGAGATCAGCCAATACCTCTACGACAAAGATTCTCGAGGATGTCATCGCTTCCAAACAACAAAAGAGTGCTCCCTGTCCAAAATAGTCTACCAAGTCCATCTACCAAAAAGAAATTTGCAGCTGGTCTGATGCATGGCGTTATCCAAATGACACCACAGTCGTCTTATGGATCACCATCAAGTGCTTATTCTGAATCTTCCTGGTCATCTCCAGTGGTTGCCGACAAAGAAAAGAGGATGGATCTTGGCAATATGAGTGGAGGAGCCTCTAGCTTAAATCTGTCAAATAGGAGAGAAAAATCGAAACTGACACGTAAACATGGTTCCTTCAACATGAAGTTAATGAATCAGTACTTCTGTTTCGGCGCTCAAGGCCTCGCTGTGGAAAATTCTGTTAACTGTGCACAACAAGATCAACATCACAGGCATCCAGTGGTAGCATGACTTTCATTGCTGCATCTACACTGGTAAGAAGTCATTGGACATATCCTTCCTGTAAATAGTTTGGGATTTTGGTCTAAAGTATTACCAGCTTCTTGGAACAACATATTGAAAATATGTTTTTAATTAGTGCTTGTAGTACACTAATTTTTTGCAGCAGTATCCTTTTTGTCTTGTCTGTGTTTTACGTATGCTCTGAGATGAGAATCTAAAGCAAATGTTTGTAATTTCTACTCAAATAAAAGAGCAATGGAAATGGAAAAGAATGTTTTTTTTTTTGGATATCTTGAGTCTTGAGAGATAACTAGTTTGAAAAGAATGTGAGTAGGAGCTCATTTCGTGCCATTCTTCTAATTCATTTTTTAAATTGTTTTTCACTAGGAGTTATTGACGTACTCTTTTGAGCACTGATATTCAAAAAGCTTTCCTATAGTTTTCTACTTTTTGAAATCTAAAGAATGCAAAAAATTTCTCACTAATCAAGTTATTCAGAGATGGATTCATGATTTAAAGATAATATATTTGAAATAGGTGTGATCTATACTTTTTACATACGTACACAATGTCTGAAATGAAAGTTTATTGGTTGAGTTGAAAGCAACAAAGAATCAATCATTAATCCCGATTTTTTAGTTATCTCTTAATCCCAATTTTTTTTTTATAGATCTTGTTCATGATTTGTATGTGATTCTCTAGCTAATTTGGCTAAAAAAGAATTGGATTAGTAGTTAGTTCAACAAGAACAATCGATCGTACAATAAAACAAATTAATTTATCATCTGACACTAACGAAACTTGCAGTAAGTTAATTCCAAAAAGGTTTGAGATTTCTCAACTGACATACACAAAAGAAAGCATATAAATCCCAGTCCGAATCTTACAGGGAACACAAAATCAAAAAGAAAAAGGGAAATGGACAGAAAAAGATTCAGGCATATACAAAGAATATGCAAAAAAAAAAATGGATAATTGCAAAACCATGAATTTTGTTCATATTCATTATTGCAGAGCACCAAATAACTGCTGATATATCTAAAAATTGTTGGGCTCAAGCCTTCCAAGATGCCCTTAATAAGATGTGATATTATCAACTTTGGATCAAACACACAATTTTCCAAAAAGGTCCGAAACCATTAAGAGATTCCTACACTTTATATGTAGGCTCCTAATCTTTTTAGCTACCAATCCAACTTGGTTCGCATACTCACTAATCTCCGCCTCGAACTAAGTTTCACGTGGAACATTCCATAATCCACGGGTCAATTTCCGGGATTCATTATGTGCCACTCATATCGTTGGAGAATTTATGACAACCGAAGCCTACAACGAGCTTCTTCATGTGTGCGCATCTCCAAGCTCATAAGGGTAAGCAAACCGAGCTCCACACCATCACTCTGCCATCACTATACTCATCCCCTCGAACCTGTGCTCTGATACCAGTTGTTGGGCACAACCAGCCCCAAGATACACTTAACATGTTATATTATTCGTTTTGGTCCAAGTCAGCAGGATTTTCCCCACAAGGCTTCACACCATTAAAAGATCCCCACATTATATATATATATATA